AACAAAAATAAATAAAGAGAAAAAAAATTGAATAGCTGGTTGTTTGCACATATGTACTTTTTAATATTTTAGAACCCACTAAGCTTATCATTTAGCTATGCCATCCAATTAGCTAACCATGCGCCCATGCCCTACCACCGCTAGCCTCCACTACTTTGCGTTGGGGGGCTGTGTTGGAGCTAGCAGTAAATAAAGCATACACTTTTATATTTCCCGACATTTTCTCTTTTCCATATCAGTATAGATATTATATTTAAAATTTTACTGTCTGCTACTGTATTTGTATTTGCCTTTAGATAGATGATCATCTTAAACCTATAGCAATATGATATATTTTGTGAACACTATTGTCCAGTAATTTTAGAAGTAAGCATGCGCCCATGCGTTTAGTGGGTATATATGCACATACCCAAAGGGCTTCCAGAGACTTCACATGCATACTTGTGTGTGATAGTACAAGAGATTGTTTGGCCTAGAACTGTTAGCAACTGAAAAGATAATGTGAGTAAAAATTGTATATCTACCCTCTCCATTTCAGGAAAAATCAAATCCTATTCTTCCTGGATGGAGGGTGTATATCCTTAGCAATTCAAAAGCTAATACTGAATAAAACTACGATATAAACCCTCAAAATCAACTACTAAATTAAGTTTTAAAATTTAAATTTTAGTATGCTTATAAACTGAAAAGCAAATGGTGCCGATGGTATTTTTCCTAGCAGCCAGCTGAAGAAATATAATGGAATTTAGCTGGTAAATATATACCTTTTTTATTTGTTGATTTGGACATCAACACTTATTTTATTTGCATGTTTGATCATTTATTTTGTTAATTATTTATTTATAAGAATTACTGAAAATATAACTAAATAAAAGTTTTTTTCATGATAAATGCACTGACATCATTTTCACCTATTATCATAATATATTTGTCATATATTAGTGATTTAAGTACGCCAGCCGTTAATTTGAACACAAAGCGCGCGGGAACCTATTATATGTACTCCTTCGATCATAAATATTTAATGCTTAGAATAAAATTTGTTTAAACTTCTGAAACTTTGACCACCAATAATTTCTCAAATTCTTAAATTAGTTTTAACAAAAAATAATATGCATAACTTTTTTTTGAAAAATTAAAGTTGTAATATCATAAATTCAATAGATTTTAAAAACTTTTTCTAATATAAAATTGATGGTCAATGTTTTAAAAGTTTAAATGAATCTTGCTCTAAACATCAAATATTTACGACCAGCGGAAGTATTTGGCTTAGATATATTTTTTTGCTACATGCATACAATTATGGCTCCAGGCCTTAAGAAACTATTGAAAACTAAATTGGTGGTTGGTTTGCAGATTTGTAAATTTACCCAGGAGCTCCGCCATTTTCTCTCATTTCTTTTTCGGTGAATAGCTAGTTTAGTCCCTCAAGTTTCACTGAAGGTTCAATTTGATCCTTCATGTTTCATTTTGTCCACATAGGTCCCCTAAGTATTTGTTTTGGCTTAAAATCATCCTTGGACCCACATAATATGCCATATGGCTATTTTTAGTCAGTATTTATGTTAGAAAATGTCCCTTTTGCCCTTAATTTGTATACAACTATACACCAGAAAAGAGAGAAACCAAGATGAATAAACAACATTGCATTTGTACCTCCCATTATTTCAACATGTGCACATGAAACTTAAGAAATGGCTATCGTATATACTTGTAAGTACATAATTTATTTTTTCTTTACATAAATTACTATGCATTATCTATAAAAAAATTCATTGCATGCATTTTTTTCTCTTATATATGTGAATGAGGGGGTATCACTACACCAGATCCTCACATCTTTGACGGCATATCTGTGACGGGCTTTAGTATTGGTCAGTGATGAGGGTCACCTTTGACGGGTCCTATGGGACGCCGTCATCGGTGAGGCATTCTTCTGCAACCCGTCACAGGTAACTAGTCACCTGTGACGGTCCCACAGTAGAAACCGTCAAAGGTGAGGTAAATCTCACCTCTGACGGCTTCCACATCCGGCCTGTCACAGGTGACTAGTTACCTGTGACGGGTTGCATCCTTATAAACCGTCAAAGGTGAGGTTAACTCACCTCAAACGGACCCATCACTGGAGCCCGTCACAGGTGGGGAGGGGGGGCGGAGTATACTAATATGTACTCCCTTATCCACTCTGTCCCTCACACACTCTCTCTTATCCACATAAACAAAAGATCTCTCTCTCCCTTATCCATACTCACAGAAGCAAGAGGGGAGGCTCTTGCGGGGCGGCGGAGGACCCGACGGCCCCCGAGAGAGGCGGCGGCGGCGGCGCGCGGCGGTGGTTCAGCGGCGTTGGGCGACGGCTCAGCAGCGCGTGGCAGCGGCGGTGGTGCGGAGGCGCAGCGACAAGGTGGTGCGGCGGCGCATGGCGGCGGTGGCGCTGGGCGGCAGCGGTGGTGCGGAGGCAAAGCGGTGAGGTGGTGCGGCGGCGCTAGGCGGCGAGCGGCGATGGCGGTACCCACATCCTCCTCCCCCTTCTTTCTCCCCTCCTCCCCCTTCTCTTATTTCCGATCTGGTGTGTGGCTCAGCGATGCGTGGCAGCGGTGAGGAGGGCTCGACGGCGTGCGGAGGCGAGGAGGAGGTGGGCGGCGGTGTCACGGCCTCCATCCCCGACCGGCGGGGGCCATCTCCATCCCCGACCGCCGGCCTTCAGGAGCTCGGGGTCACCGGCGCCAAGCTTGAGCGACGACGACGATGACCACCGACGACAACCGCCGAGTCTGCCTCCGGGACACGGATCTGGCCTCTGGGACACGGATCTGGCCGTCGACGCCTCCCCCACCTCCCGGCCACTAGCGCCTCCACCCTTTCTTTCCCGCCGATGTGGTCGGTCACCATGGCTGCCATCCCTCGCCCGCCGGTCGCCAGATCTGTCGCCGGTGTGCGGTGTGCCCCTCTCGCCCCCTATACTTTTGCATTGATATGATATTGTTGTCTGTGCATTGAGAAATTGTTGCCATCCACTTTGTGTGAATACTTCTATATGAGATCTATCGGTTTGAATTTTTTGTGTGATGATGAATGTGAGCAAAGCAGCTCTGAGCCCGTGACAACGAGCACCACCACAGCAGCGTGCACCATTTTTTTTTGTTTGTTTTTCACACCAGTGACGGGTTGCACGCTGCTTCTTTTTTTTTTTGCTGGGTTAAAGACATCAGTGACGGGCCACAAAATAATGGGTCGTTTGAGATAACAGTCATCTGTGACGGGTTTTATATGTGGTCCATCACAGGTAGCCTTCACCACTGACAGGTCTACACCCCGTCAAAGGTGAGGAGAGTCATCAGTGACCACTAATCTCTGACTAGAGCTATATCCGTCAGAGGTGACACTTTGGGCCTGTCACAGGTAGCCCTACCCAGCGTAGTGTATAAGTGTTATTTATCAAGAGAGTTGTTGGTTATGTTTAGCCATGTGGCTTCTAAGTGGGTTAAAGAATAAGTTTGAACTAAAATAAAAACTTGGAGGACTAATATGGATGGATTGAAACATCAAGAACTAAACTGAGCCTCTGATGAAACTTGGAGGACCACTTTAGCTATTCATCCTTTCTTTTTCATTGTGGAGCTAACAAAAAATCTCTAGGCGTTTCTCCTATCGTCATAAAGCCTTAATACATATTTTTGAAATTAAATAGTAATATCAGTTACCACCAGTTTCTCTCATTTCTTTTTCATTCCCAAGTGCCATGCACAGCACCCGGCCAGGCTCGGCTATCCACAGCAAGCAAGCTCAAAACCAATTGATTATCCTTCATCCGTTCCTTTTGTTTTATATTATAAGTCGCTTTGATTTTTTTTACCAAACTCTTCTTGTCTAAATTTACGGAAAAAAATAGCAATATCTATAACACCAAATTAGTACACTAAGCTAAAATTTAATATATTTTAATAGTATTATTTTTGTGTTGAAAATATTTATATTTTTCTATAAATGTGATCAAACTTAAAAGAGTTTAATTAGAAAAAATCAAAATAACTTATAATATTAAACAGAATATATATATATATATATATATATATATATATATATATATATATATATATATATATATGAGTATGTTCTTGTTCAGCACTATGTTAGGTTTGAAGTATCATAACTCATAAGGTTAGATTCACATGTTCGTGTAGACTGAATTTTCTGATATGTCTGAATTTATGTGGGAGTAGGAAGAAAGTTGAGAAGTTCTACAATCATGTATATCAAACAATTAAATGAAATTAATTTGTTGTGATTTTCAGAGTTAATTTCTGAATGGAACTTATAACAATATAACTATTTTTATTGCTCTAAAATAATATTTTGTATTAATTATTAGTTACTTGTCCCTACAGTTTTGCACATGTACTACTACTTGATAGCATATTACTCTATCCATTAATGGCTGCCAAGAAAAACAACTGGCCACCAAGAAAATCTTGGACTCTTGTATATTAAAAGGAAACCAAAGGTTAACAATATTGGTTCCACATCTGCAGATATATATACAAATGGAGCTAGGAAGCAGAACACGACATAACATACAATTATCTACCCAAATTTCTCAATATTGCAAAAAGGAAAATAGTTAGATACCAATCAATGGATTATTGCACAGGAAAAGACAACTATATATACGTACGGGGGACTAGCAGGTGGTTTCCACTTCTTTTTTTTTTTGAAGAAAGAGGTGGTTTCCACTCTCTGATTAATTAGTTACATGTGATGGATATGAGGCATAATGTTTCAATGATTTGCTAGGATCAACCAAACGATATATATGTTTGGAGCTTAATTCAGACGACAAACACAGCTTTTAGATAAGGAAGCCTTTTTCAGACGAAGTAATTAATAGATAGCTGGCTAATTAAACACGAATTAAGTTGCACTCACATATAAATCAATTCAGACTAGTATCTATGCCTATATATAATCGACATGCATACACCCTATAGATGGGCCGGGGATTATAATTTAGAACTTTAATTTGTGTGCTATATATGAACATCTCGATATGCATGCGTGCATGCATGCATATATACCATAATCTAGCATTATAGTCGGAACATTTTTATATATGCTACGTACACTGAACAATTTAGCAGAAGCACAAGTTTACAAACGACACAGAGATATAGCTATATCTTCTTGACTGGATGGAGATATTAGCCATATATAGCTTAGGGAGAAGAGAGGGATAGAGAGAAGTACTAGCTAGTTCATGTTGAGTACACACTTTGGGCTGCCGCAGATGAGCATGGAGATGCAGATCTTGATGATGTACAGCTTCCCCTTCTGCTGCTTCGCCGTGCTGCGCAGCCTCTCCAGCTTCGAGCTCTCCTTCGATTCCTCCATGTATATGCAGAGCTAGCAGCTTCTCTCTAATTTCTGGGTTGCTGCTCACTAGCTAGCTAGCTATCTCTGATTTCTTGGTTGCTCGATCACTAGCTATATATATATAGATAGAGAGAGATTGGCTGGTGATTACTGAACAGATATGAGAGGCAGCGCTGAGCTCAGATATGCTATACTTCTTGGAAAGTGAGGGCCGGCAAATGTGTTGCAATGAGATGGAAAGTGATCCAGAGAAGTTGATGCTGATATATGTACCCCTGCTGATGCTCCAGTTAAGATCGATGCTGCAGTAAAGAGAGTACAAAAATTAACCAGGGCCAGTTGCGCTAGATACAGGTTGGTGTGTGGTGTCCATCTTTTCTGATGCAGTCTGCATGGGCCACTTAAGTAGGTGATCTTTATTAGTCCTCCTGCCAATATTTTTTTGCCTAACTGGTAAGGTTGTCAAAATCATAATCCTAAACCGAAATCATAAGTTCTAAGTAGAATCACAATCAGAAGTTCTAAAAGTTCTAAGTAGAATCACAATAATAGAATCGTATAAATTAAATCGAGAGACGTCCAGGGATTTTCCGGCTAACTCCATAGGATGATGGGCTAGATGACCTAAATTCAAAGCATCACTTCTTCTAATTATTTGATATTAGGTTATTCCCTAATATTCACGTCTTTTTTTATACAATAAATCATAGATTGGGCACCTTTATCAAAATGTAACGTCGTAAAATCATATGACAGAATTAAAATTTTCACAACCTTTGCTAACTGGTGGCTAGGTTATTTTGGTTCACGTATATACTGGAAGCTGTAGGCTTGCAAGTTGCAACTTTACATTAAGAAGTTATAAAAAAATATAGCTTAAACTAGAAGTGCCATGAATGGTTCCCACTCACGAGATGGCTAAAAAGAGCGGATATGGATGTCCACCCCTTGAGGGAAGAGCATCATCTCGTTTGTTACATATCACTTAATAGTCAAAAAAAATATTTAAAATTAACAAGATGAATTTTTGAGTTTTACAAGTGCTAGTGCTCTGGATATGGGTACCTTATACTTGTGTATTAAAGCTCGGCGGGTTCACCCATATATGTATACCAAGTCTTATACGGAATCAAAGCTCATACGGAGTACATGAAATGTGTTTCGAATAAGGGAAGTGATGGCAACAGAATGCCCGATCTTCCGTCAGGTGAAGATAACTATCGATTTGGTGGAAACTTGACACATACGATCCGGCTTCCGATCTACACGATCCGAACCCTGCAATCCTAGCACAACATCTCCTCTGGTTATCAACCGTGTCGAAACCCGATTGACCTCGCCGAGAAGGCTAATCCCTGCGTGTGAATCAAAGAACACAAGTAAGAACAAGAAAAACAATAACTCAATTGCAGATGAATGATTATCAAGGACTCAAAGTTGGGGTTTCACAAACCGATCTAGTAGCGAAACTGCAAAGGCAGAAATATCTAAGCAAAACCCAACCCTAACACAATGATGGCTACTGAATATATAGGTTTTAGGGTCGACCTTAGACCCATGGACGCGACCCTATTAGACTTCGACTCGATACACGGCCCAACGGGCCCAAAGACAATGACGCAGCACCCCGACAGATTCTGAATTTGTTTCGAAGATTCCTGTTGACTCGGAAGGAATTTTGACATGGGACCAGATCCATTGGAAAGTTGATCTCGTTATCTTTCCATGCATATGAAGAACGTCGAAACCGGAGTCCGAATGCAACCTGGGCGACGAATTTAATGTGGACTGCTCCTGGAGCCCGAAGTGGACTCGAACTTGATATGAGTTGGTTCTCCATCTTGACTTGATCCATCTCCTAGCCTCTCTCCAAGTGCTCCATGGTCCTCTCCATAATTCCTAATCATAATTAAATCAATAGGTAGCAATCTATTCTCAAGAGCACATAAAGAAGTATTTAGGAACGAGCTCACCTGCAAATCTGGGGTGTTGTGTGAGAGCTGGCAGCTGCTCACACAACACCCCAGAGAAGACACTAGCACCAAGCCGACTGCCGCTAAACGTGGTCGATCATCACTAGGTCAACAAAGGGGTTACAAACGCCTCACCAAAAACACTAGCTTAACTCTGAAAGACAATGAAAAGGTTCCGTTTATTCTCACGTAGAGGGATTGAGGAAAGGGAGAGGGCGAGAGAAGGATATCCGCTCGTCTCTCACCCCAACCTGATGACGACAACCAAGAGCTACCGGCGTCCAAGCAGAGAGAAGATGACGATGGCAAGGAATGGAGACCTCCTAGACAATGCCTTCAAGAAGGTCATGGCATCATAGACATCGCCGTTGCCCATCTAACTAGACTCGGTTTTCACTTGGAGGGTCCTGTCGAGGAGGGGGAGAGTGGCCGCTCGACAACGCCCCGAGAGGGGAACGCGGCATCCGAAGATGTCGCCATTGCCGGCTTAGGCAGTCCCAAGCTAGTCTTTCACCGGTAAACCTCCACACCCACCCCTGTCGTCACCTCCCTAGAGCTCCACCGCCTATACAACTTCTGCCAACTCAAAACTCCATCGGCTCTAGCACCCCACCGCCAGCGAGCCCAGATCTGCCTCCCGCAGCTCACTGACGGCGCAGCTAGCACTCGTTGCATCTCCTGCTATCAGCGCAACCCGATGGGGCCACCTTCTTCTACTAGCCGAGCTGCCCTCACTACCTACCAGGATGCGTCGGCTTCCCTCGTCGCTGCTAGATGCATCAGGCTCCACCTCGTTGCCACTGGACGTGTCGCCCTCTCATAGGACGCGACGGCCTCCCTGCCGTCGCCCACCCCATCCTCCTTCGTCGGCCATGTCACGCACGGCTCCCGCGCCTGCCACCGTAGCACGCATCTTCTCCTCCTTCTCCAGCTGCCCCGGCCCACTGGCTGTGTTTGGGCCACCCTGCGCCTCCCGCGCGAGCATGCGTCTCCAAGGTCGCGCACGCCGCCTTTTGTGCCGCACTGTTGATAACTTCCGGATCTGCCCGCGGGGGGGTCGGACTCGCTTCCCCAGATCCGCCGCAGCCTCCTCCTCGAGCTAGAAGCGGTGTCGCCGGTGCTGCCCTACCCAATCTGAGGACGGGAGGAGGGAGGGCGGATCTGTTGTGACCGGAACTAGCGCTGACGGCCGCCGCCCCTCCGCTCAGATCTCAGTGTTGCCCCCAACCGCCGTGGCTTGAGTGAAGGGAGAGCCCCCCCTACCGTCCTTGTCGTCGCCCAGCTTTGTCGGTGGCCGCTCGCGACAGCGAGGCGGAGGAGCAGAGGAGAAAAGAGGAGAGGAGGGAGGGGTGGTGGTGGAGGTTGCACCGCCCGTGGTTCCTTGGAGTGGGGCGACACAGGGTCCTTGTGCTTGAGAGCACACCCACCGTGCTGTCGTCGTGCGTTTAATATCAAAAAACAAATCGAGTAATATTGCATTGGACTTCATAATTAATAATTTTTTTACGCAAATAATTAATAATTTTGTCTATGTATATATGGAACTAGGATTCGTTGATGCAGGAACAAGAATGGGGTCTCATCCTACTCCTGTTATGTGTATGTGAGTAGAGATATATTTTTTTTAACGAACATGTGAGTAGAGATATCACACAATAAGAGACTGATCAGGTCATTACTAGAAAAACTATTTTCACAGACGAGGTTCATTTTACTATGCAGGTGGGCCTAATTTTTCCTCTAAAACGATCATCTGCAATATTGAGCTAGCGTGGGAGGCGGGATGGCCATCAGCCTGCATAAATACATCTTCGTAGGCGGACGGCTTAAGATGTGCGCCTAGAAAATATATTTCTATAGTTTGACACGGACAATTCAATGGTTGCATCCTATGAAAATGGTTGCATCTGTTTATCCCCACATCTTCCTACAGTTTGACAAGGACAATTCAATGATAGTTTTTTCGTAACTATTCCGTTTTCTACATGCATTCCTTTGATAATTAATTATGACTAGCTAGCTCCTGGCATTCATTGCCACTAGTTCATGTTGAATCTCCTAGCTAGCCCACCGGAAAGTCGATGACGAACCATGCATGTCAGCACGTTTGATTGATCACTTGGAAAGTTCCACTAGAATTCTAGAAGAAAAACCAATTATTGCCCAGCTATGCGACCTGCCTAAGCTTTTGTCCAATTCCTTCTCCAGTGTCCAGTTGGCCTCCTGGTCCAGCAAATGAAACTACAGAGGAGATTTCAGTCCCAGTTGGCCGGCCAGTTGGACCAGGATGGCCAGGGCATTCTCAATCGGTCTGCAACAAACTAACTAACACACACACAAAACATGCATCCGCTTCTCATTCCTGGGAAATCAAGCAAAGAGGGCTTTAATTAGTATTTGCAGCTTTTCTCCGAATTTCTAGCTCACCAAACAATACTGATTCTCATCCAAATCCTGATAAACTTTAATACTATATAGATCTATATAGAAAACAAACTAAAAGTCAAAAACTAGAAAACCTAACTTTTTCATATCTTATAAAATATAAACTGACTACGAACTAGCTGTTTTTTATAAGTTTAAGCTCCTCTAGACAAAGGCCATAGCTACCTACTATAGTCGTGAATTTAAAGGCCCTCCACCCTTAAAAAAATATTAAAGGCTCTCCACCTGCTCCACCCCACACTACCTGTCTATCCGTTCAGTCCATGGGCTGTTCAAGTGGTCAGGATGTGATGAGCAGCACAATTCACTCGTCGTCCCTTGCTCTGTTCCCTTGAAAACGAAAAAGCAGACGAGGAAGTCCAGTGCCTGTACGCTTCCAAACGGCCGGGCGACTTTGGCCACGCAGCCCAGGCTGCAAACCCGGGGATCCCGAGAGGTAGGGATGCAAGCGGAGCGACACACGAGTTCACTTATAGGTCAAATAAATAATAATTTATCGGTTTTTGTGTCGTGGTTCGATTTACCGTATTTAAATATGTAAGTGGGTCGATCCACAAACCCATTTATAGATCAAATTAATAGACATACTAATTTTATCTATAAACGGATTCGTGGATAAGCCCACTTGCAACCTCTACTGCGAGAGGCCACGCGCCGCCCACGTCGAGCGGTGGACTCCACCGTCATCTTTTCACTGGTCGTGATCGTGCCATCCGCGACGGAGGCAGGCCGGCAATCACGCGGACGCACGCGGTACGCGCGTGGCTAGCTTAGCTAGCTTGGCGAAAGAGGGATTCCTCCGGCGCGACCGGACGGAGACTGTACTGTGCCGTAGGTGGTGACGTATACTGACGCAACGTATCACCGGTATATTGTCCGAGAGACCGAGAGACCGGCCGAGAGGGAAGGTAGGTAGAGAAAATATGTGTACAGATACGTGCCGCACGGTTGTGTGGTCTTTTGCTCATCGATCCTGCGCACCTGGGTTAGTTGTGGGTGGGTCGACACACAGCCGATTTCCAGCAGAAGACAGGAGATGTCTGAAGATGTGAGAACTCTGAATGTTGCAAAAGAACAAGAATATATAGGAGGTAACCTGGAGATGGACGGCTAAGATGTCAGGATTCCGATTCGCTAATGAAGATTCTATGGTCCACTTTGCGTAGCATCCAATTTTTTTTTTTGTAAAACTAGATAGTAAGGTGGACCCGTGTTAGATGATAATACTCTCTTCGTCCCATTTTAAGTGCAGCCATGGTTTTCCACGTTCAACTTTTATTATCCATATTATTTT